TCCAAATGGTAGTTGAGTTCCTTCTTGCGAATCAATTGAACAATCATAAGGTTGATGCTCTAGAAGAATATCTATATTTTTCTTTTCAAAAATACTTTAGAAATTTCAATACTCACTAGGATTATTACTTGATATCTTTTCATTATTAAAAATAGGCATGGCATATATATCAAAAGATGATCTTTTTTTTTGCACCATGTATTAAAGTTCTCACTCCTATATCTGAGGATTTGGATATATTAAACTTATATATTTTTACTTGACTAATGGAATTTTGAATTAAATTATTAGAAAAATTAAAGTTATAAGAAATCTAATTTATTTGAAGGTTATATTTTTTTAACTATAATAATCTTAAAATAATAAAATTAAAAATAGATCTTATTACATTAAATATTACATGTTATTATGCTCTTTAATTAATTACTACATCGAAAAGAACAATTTGATGGATAAAATCTTTAGAAGACAAAAAATGACCATCTATGACTTTTATATGTATTAATTTAATTTTCTTGATTAAAGATATTTCTTATTTTTTGACAAAGTCTTCATCTATGAAACATGTTGAAGCTCTTGAATCTAATAATGCAAAGTCTTTGTGATTTTTAAGTCTTAAATACATATCTATTGTAAAGCAAGATAAAAAATCTTGAGAGAGAATAGAATCTTTATTTGGTATTACACATGATTCTACTTGTACAATCCTTATTGTAACTGGAAAAACTTATTTTTTGACATATTATCTTCTTTGGGAATCGTGCTTGTCAATTTGTAATTATATTATTTCTTTGGAAAATATTGAGTAGTATGTTAAGTTGTTTCCTACTTTTTGAGAGGTTTAAAATTCATCATATCAATTTTCATTGATTTTGGCCTTGATGAATAAGTTTCAAAAAATTAGGAAGCTGCCGCCTTTTACTTGACTTGTTTCTCTCCAACTAAGTTTTTATTCTTGATATCTTTCACATAATCAATAGTCACATGCAATGGCTTGAGCAATAAATTATTTCAAAGATTCTACTTTCAATATTATCAATAACAAATCTTTGATATTATCTATTAATCTATATTAAAATTGATTAATAATGACTTTATTATTCTAGTCCACATTATAAGTGAAGTTTTGGAATTCAAAAACATATATGATAGTTGATCATGAATCTTATTGTAAAGATAAGAGTTTGGTCTTTCTTACTCATTTTCAATCACTTTTTCTAAATATATCCATAAATACTTTTAAGAATAAGTTAAAATTATATAAGAGTCGCAAATCTTTTTCTATCAAAAGAACAAATCAAAAAAAGTATTTCCGGATAGAAGTGCACTTATGAACCCAACTTGAATAAATCCTTCAAAGTATTAGAAGAGATATAACCTTAGAGCCTTGATAATGATTTCAACTCTCAGAGCCTTGACAAGCTTATGAAGATCTACAATATTTACAAATCTATTTTCACTTTTATTGAGAGTAGCATCTATAATCTTTTCTTCAATAGACAACTCAAATAAATTCAAAAAGTTAAAGTAGAGGAAGATAATTTGCAACCTCTAATATAAAATGAAAATTTCCACAAAGAGGGATAAACTTCTTTCTTTAAGGAAAAAATTAGTATTAAAAAATAAGATTATTTTTTTAAAGGTGAATAATTTGTAATCTTTAAAATAAAATAATAGAAGTAAGGTGATCCACTTATTTCTAAAATAAGATAGGAATAGTAAATTAGTACTCTTGTCAAACTATCAAGGACATAAATTTCAAAGAAAAAAACCTCAATATACTCTTGTATCATTCAAAAAGACTAAAAAATCACTTAAAGATGATATATTATTAAACTAAAATGGCTATTGTCAAAGACAAGAAGATTAGAAAGTCTTGAAATAAGAATAAGGACTAAAAAAGCATTGAAAAAAGTGAAGGCTTCATTCTTGCCTCCACATATACTCTTAACTAGGAATTACATAGCAATGTCCTATAGGACCTCCAAAACATGTTGACTTTGCATAACACATATCTTAACTTACAACACAAGTTTTTTGTGTGTGTGCCATATAGTTAACTTATTCTATAAGCTATCAATATGTGATTAACTTATTCATCAAATTTCTAACCTATCAATCAACTAAAAATACATATAAAGTCAAAAAAAACATCTATAAAGCTTTTAGGAAGCTTTTCTAAAAAATATTATGAAATAAATCTACTTTTATCTACTTCTATTTAATTATGTAGCTAAATATTAAAGTAAGTATATATATCCATGATAGCTAGTTGCTAGAGATTTTATTCAAATTTAAAATATGAATCATGTATAAATATTTTTGTTTATTATTAAGTTGAATTCTATTAAAGTTCTTCTAGCTCTAATAGCTCAATAGAACTCGTAAGTCCATCAAATTAATATTAAAATAAATTTTTAAAATAATTATAACAATAAAAAATTTTATATGTGAATTCTAAAAGACTTACTTTTACCTAGTAATTTAATTTAATTTATTAACTTTTAAAATCGTCATATGGTTTGAAGCAATCTTGTTATGTATAGTATCTTAGATATAATAATATCTAGAGAAATAATTAATAAAAATGATGAAATTTATAGATCCAAAATAAATAGCAACTTATATAGGATTCTATGTATTAGATTTAGATAAAAGTCTAAAATTTGTATAGCTCTTTGTGCTACTTTTCTTAAAAATTTGATTTTATATTGTTTACCTTTAATACAAGGATAATAAAAAATGAGGTCTTACAAAACAAAACTATCCATGCCATTGGACATCAATAGAAGTTGTCTTAATCTATACTAACTAATATGGCCTAGTTGTAAAATCCATAAATCAACTTTGCTCAATTATATAGTTGCAAGTTTAGCCAATATTTTATAATTAGATATTAAAGTAACACCTAATTCATATAGATTGGGATCTAATTTTCAGATTGGGATCTAATTTTTACATAAAAATAATTTGGTATGATTTATTAAATAGTATCAAAATACCAAATTAAATTTAAATTTCTCTTTTACCTCTATCAGATCAAATTTGTAAAAAAAAAGTTCTTTAAAAGTCTTGGAACATGTAAAAGTTTAGATATGATTGTTTCTATACCATTTAAAATTTTGATAGTAACATTGCTATATCTTTTATATTTTAAGATATGATATCATTACCTAAATATATAATTTGTTAAGTATCATATTTTATATAGTCATAAAAAATACCATATTAATGACACATATGCTAGATTGCTTCAAAATCTCAATATTAAGCTAATATAGAGCCTTCTTGAGCTATCAAGGCAATTGTATAAAGCTTCTTTTGGTTTTGTAATTATATTTAATTGTATGCTTTTCTTTGCAAAAAATCTTATTTAATATTTTTAAGTTTAATGTCTAAGTTTTTTTTTTATAGTAGAAGCATTTTTTATCAAAAGTTTGATTGTTCTTTTCTAAAGTTTTAAAAGAGCTCTCTTTAATTTTTGAATTAAAAAAATTCTTAAATTTTTATTTAAAAAAGACTTTTTATTATTATAAGACTTTTTTACATAAAATATTAATATATTTTTAGAAGTTATATTAATATCTTTTATTAAAGATTCTTCTTCTATTAATTTGTTATAAATGATTAAAAAGTAATTACTAGTTGATGACTTAGAGAATTAATAAAAGACTTATATAATAGTAATAAACTTCTTATTAAAATTAAAATTGTTGGAATTAGAGACTCTAATATAGGAAATTGTTCAAGGTGTGATCTAAAGACATGAATATATTTTGTTATTCCTTCATTGTATTTAAGATACATTTTTATAATTTCATCTTATGCTTTTAAAACACTTTTTAGTTCTTTCTTTGTATCATTTGATGTCTTACATGATTATATTTTCAGATTTTGTGTGATTGTTAAAAATTAAACCATTGATAATTTAAAAAGATTTTATTTTAAATTGATGATTAATTTGATAATAATTGAGATTTTAAATCTATTATAGGATTTAATTATGAATTAATTAGAATATAATTAGAATTTACTTATGGTTTTTTTTAGGCTATTAGAAATTTATTAGGATTTCTTTAGGATCTTTTTATAATTTTTTAAATAATACTTAGAAGCTTAAACACCTAATGCATTGTTTTGGATTATAAATCCAACTTCAAGATAAGATTAATTTCTTCCACATCTTCAAGCTCAATGCATTTTTGGACTAATTTTTAAATAACTTAACAATGCAACTTGAAATATGCCTTTTTTGATATAAGAAGTAGGATAAGATATAAGATGTTGGGCCTTAACATCATATGAGTATTAATCCTATCTACTTTTGTTTTTTATCTCAATATTCTTAGTTTTTTTTCTACCATAGCTTCTAAGCCTTAGTGACAGTAGATGTTTATGCAATAAACTAATTTAGATATTTTTAAAAATAAATTAATTTTAAAACCAATTATTCTTTGTAAGAGATTAGAATTGATAATTTATTTTATTTTATTTTTACACCATAGGTTGAGAGGGTTTTATTTTTAATATCTTTAAAGATAAAAGTTCTAAACAACAAAATTATTTCATCAATTGTAAAATCTTTACAAAACCATGAGACCACAAATTTTAAAAGAGACTTTAAGAAATTAAAACTTTTAGAAACTTTAATTCAATTAATTAATTTAATTAAATATACCAATTAAGTTATTAAAAAGTACATAAATAAACAAAACCAAAACAATCCAAACAACCATTCAATAAAAATAAATAAAAAAGGACTTTACATAATAACTGCAATTTAATTACTTATAAAGCACTACAAAACCCTCGTTTATGGAGGGACAAGAGTTGCTGCATTCCCCAAGACCATGACCTCGTCAACTCACGATTTGGTTGAGCTTCGACACCCGAGGCGCGATCTTACGTGCTCTCGCTCCAATACCCAGGCTCGGTCTCACATGCTCACGGGGCTCGGTACAGGGCGGAGTTTAAGGGACGGATGACCGTGAGGCGCAAGGGGAAGTCACGGCGTCGACAGTCGAGCCGCGATGACCACCTTCTCGATGCTTCATGAAGCGTGATGTGAGCTGAAGATCGGCCACGCAGTGCCGTCTGCAGCACCACCGGAGATGATCGGGGCCTCGCAAGGCTGCACTGCTCTTGGATTGCCCATAAAAAGCAGCACGCACCCACAACTGGAGGTTATTTAGAGCGCCTGTAGTTGTTGCCACTTAGTTCCGATTCGAGCATAATTCGCCACCTTCATGTGTCGTCAGCCTCGAAACTCAGATCAAAGCCGAGCACAATTCCGGAATATATTTGCGTTGGGGTGGAGGAGCGATCGATTACGCCGGCAGGTTCTTCTGAGATTGTCCGAGCGCTTTCGGCTGAGGTTCCGACCTGAGAATCGGGGTACTTGGAGAGGACGTGGAGGCTGTGGGTCCGAGTGATCGTTGCGTCGTCGGATGCTCAGTGGCGAGAGGTGGTGCACGATGAATCGATACTTCGGAAGTCGGGTTGCGTAGTTTCGAGCTGGTAGGTGATGTGCTGATATTCGAGATTTTGAATTGTCAGCTGTTTGCTGTGCCATTTGGAGTCTGCATTTTCCATGTGAAGTGTTTTTCGTTTTATTCTTTTTCTTTATTTTTTGTTTTGGCCGCTGGAGTTCACAAGCTTGTCGGAATTATAATTCATGCTTCTTCAGGGCGTCATTGTCTGACAGCCTTGCTTTTCTCTTGATTTTGGTCTTTCTGCTTCCGCATCAATGTGCAATACTGAAATTAAATGGTGACTGCGAAATGTGTAGTGTAGATTCGATACGAGAACAGCGAGATTTGGGACTTGACTGATTGGTGAAGCAGCCGCCATGGGGACCATCACTCGGTTGAGCAAGATTTATGGAGGCTCGTTCTTGTCTTTGGTATCCTTATGTTACTTCTTGCAGTCCTTCAGAAGTTTTCCCTGGATGGCCATGACTTTCTGGTACAAGGACAACTTGAAGGTGCGTCGCTTATTTTCCTTGTTGCCCTCTGTTGCATAAGTATTGTGCTCTCCAAACCCCATTTCTATACTTAGAATGATTTTATATTTCTATTGGAAACAACCTAAAGGGCTACTGTTGTGATTTTTGGATGCAGGTCGACCCTGGTACAATGCAATTTTTGATGTCCACAACTATGCTTCCCATGGTTGCCAAGCCTGTCTATGGCATTATTTCCGATTCTGTGTATATTAAGGGCGCACATCGTATACCCTATCTAGTTCTTGCAGGTAAGGCCATGTTCGTTTGCGAAATTTGGGGACGTGAATATTTCCAACCATGGCATGTGGATTCACCAGTCCAGGAGTGTCGTGCATTTCATCTCTCCTAAATTGTGCAAGCCTTCGTATGTGCTTATTATCTTTCTGGTGGATAGGTTGTTGCAATTTACATAATTTGGTGCTAATACATAAGTGTTTTCCTTGTATATTTCATACAGGAGGGCTTCAATTGTTTGCTTGGACTGCAATAGCCTTGTTCTCGGGAGTGTCATCAGCAGCTAGTATGCTGACAGCATTTCTTACAATTACCAATTTAGGAGGTGCCATATCGGAGGTTGTGCAGGATGCAATGGTTGCTGAAGCTGGCAAGAACAAAGCGGGTGCTCAGCCAGGTAACTCCTCGGATTTTCTTTTCTTTTCTTTTCTTTTCTTTTCTTCTCCACTCTCTCCTAGAAGATCAATACTGCGACTTACAATTACTAGAACATTTTCTCTGTTGATTATTTTATTAATTGAAAAAGTGAAAATAAGAAAATATCTTGACATTGTTTAGGCTCTCAGATTTGATATCAGCATCAATGAGGACCACATTCTCATGCATGCTTATTTCATGTCAACCTCCCAGCAATGGCCTTGCGAAATGCTACAAAAATTTACTAATAATTCTTCACTTTCAATGCTTTTCCAATTTTTCATGCACCTGCCAATTTTTCGTGTGCTGAGATTGCAAGATTTTTGTTGCGTTGGATCAGGTGAATTGCAATCATTTGTTTGGTTAGCTATGGCATTTGGTGGAGTAGTGGGGAATCTAACAGCTGGGTACGCCATGAAAATACTCACCCCGAAAAACATGGTACAGATCTTTATTTCTCTTCTCACAATCCGATCCTTTTGACTCTCCATGTAAGCGAACGTTCCTTTGGCTTAGGATCTGTGAGAGACACTGACGACAATCCAGAACTTAAACAATTCCAAGGCCGGAAAGACGTAGGCTCAGCAATGTGGGATCAGATGGCCAAGCTGAAAGAGGCCCTCCAGAAGCCTGCTCTCCATAGACCCCTCCTCTGGTTCCTCTCATCTTTCGCTCTCATACCAGGCCTTGGAAGCTCAATGTTCTTCTTCCAAACCGAATATCTAGGTTTGAATGCTTCAGTTTTAGGGCTTGCCAGGCTGGTTGGTCAAGTGGGTTTAATCTTTGGCAGCATGCTTTACAACAAGGCTCTCAAGGGGGTGCCCGTTCGGCGACTGTTTGTATATGTTCAGATTCTACTTTCTCTTTGCATGCTCACCGATGTAGTCTTTGTGAAGCGGATCAATTTGGAACTGGGCATTCCGGATAAGTGGTTTGTACTCGGAGCGTCAGCATTTGTGGAAGCCATAGGACAGTTTAAGAGCCTTCCATTCATGGTGCTGTTGGCACAGCTCTGTCCTTCCGGCAGTGAAGCTTCTGTGTTTTCGTTTTTCTCCGCCGCATCGTGTTTGGCAGGACTCCTAAATGGATACCTCGGTGTTGTACTATCGTCACAGCTCAACATTTCTGCGAAGGATTTCTCGGGGTTGCCAACGGGTATCTTGATCAGTGCCTCCTGTGCCCTGCTGCCTATCCTCTGGATAGGATTGATACCTGAGGAGGGTAAATCCGCCAAGGAGACTCGGACAAATTCAGTCGAGGCAAAGAAAGCTCTTTAATCCCTTTACAGATTATGGCTGTGCTGCCTGGAAAGATATAAATTAGTGCTGCACCCATTGACGAGATCATGGTAGTTGCGAAGCCAAAACTTGAAGGTCCACTTTCGTATGTTTATGATGTGTTTTAGAATGCTGCCAATCAGGAGCTTTGGAGATTTTAGATTGCTTGCACTGAAGTAATTTTTTCTCTACACGTCTTGTGCACACACCAGCTCGACTCAACGATTACTATGTAAATAGGTGCTCTGGTGGATATTCTTGCTGATCATTGAGGAAACATGCCCAATGCATCTGTTCAGTAAAACTTGCTTTTGAACCTCTGTGTGGGTTCGATCCATGGATAGAATAGTTGTTCCGTGATTATATAAAGTTTGTACTCCAGTTTCTTTACTGTTACTTCCATCACATTCAACCTTCAGAAGGTCCATATCGACCGCCCGCAAGCTTGAGGCTTAGACCTATGCTTTCCTCTGAATCGGTGCAAGAAAACAACGCAAGTAGTGACGAGATTCATGCACAAATCATGTTGCTACTCACTGTTCAGGTAGCTGGGTCTGTGCTTCCTGCGACCGAGTCTTTCCCACCATTTCAACCAGCCATGTGGAATGAAGTGGTGTCCAGTATCTGGGCTCCGATTAAGGAACCCATCCTATATGTCAGTAACACGTCACTTCCTCCCCCATGACGGAAAACTGCATGTGGTAGCTTCAATCACGGGGAGATATTTCGACGTTGAAATAGCAGACGAGAGCAGTGATGTGCAGTAAGATAGTACCTGCAACGGTTAAGGTGGATAAATTAAAATATAAAATCCATTACTTTGATTGAAAATCTAAATCGAAGTCAAGTACGATCATCATTCGAGAATGTCAGTTTCCTTCAATCATATGTTAACAGACAAACTTATTCGAATCAAGATAACTTGGGCAAACCAGCAGCTGTGTTTATGTCCACAATCAGTAATAGTTGAAAATGATGAATTATGTTTTAAAATTTTCCACGTATATTCCGTTAGAGGTTTACCCCTACATTGATCGGAAGTCTAGGGAATCGAATAGGGGATCAATACGCCTAGAAATATAATAAGGGGCTTCATGGACCTTCCAATGTCTTTGGGTCACATTCATCCATAGATCAGTCTGTAGATCAACTATTCACAACCAATCAATTGTGAATAATTGAACGAAGCGAGTAGAAAAGTTCAGGCCGGATAGGGCCAGTTCTGAGTGGTTCTAGGTTGCAGCTCCGTAGTATCAATTATGCCGCATTGTAGCAGTATCTGTTCCAAAAAAAAGAAAAGGTGCTTGCAAACTACTTCTATGTGAGTTTTAGAAGTATGCCGCTGAAATATATTTACTTTCTAAAATTGACTTGGACGTCTCAGGGGAGTAACAAGAGAGTTGTATTTTGTTCTACTTGGAGTTGATGTGGATTTATTCACATGGGGTTTTGAGGTTCTACATATACACATATGATCCTTGTTTTGAACATTTCTTGGATGAGTAGGTGCATGTTAAATAAAATCTAAATTATGCTGTTAGGTGTGCTTGTTCCATGAAAAACACTGGCATCCGATCATATTAGGAATAATTCCGATTTTATGATACAACCTTAACATTTTGCCTGCGTTGATTAACAATGCTTGAGTTGCATTTCAGAATGCATGTTAGTAATTAAGACGACAAATATTAATCGTTGAAAAAAGGCAATATTAGGTTTTGAAGTGGCAAATTCCACATTAGATACAACGTGTTACGTTAAAACTTCTGAAATTTCAGTCTATTATAATGTGGTTTTAACTCCTTTTACTGCATGCTTAAATTAGTAATACGTTCTCTTTATATATTGTACTACAGATTTGTGCAATCATTTCAAAGGAACCGAATTCACCAGCCTTTTAACATGAAATCTACATATGGTATTTTCATGTACAAAATATTCTTGGTAGTGGTCAGCGTCATCTTTACATGTCTTCACCTCAAAAACCGCATATCTGAAAAGAGAAGTCCTACAAACACAATACAACACTCACAGCCAGATCCACCACTACTTCACACGATTACACAAATCATCCGATCCTACCGATTTAAAGTCCATCGCAACTGATAAAAATCTCTCCCCTCATACGCTTTCTACTTCTGCATGTTGTACAGAGCTGCAATGTGATAACACTGCCTCAACTAAACTAAGCTTGCTACCAGGTTTATATTCTCCTGAAACCCAGATGTTGATGATCCACGTCATGTTCACGCCCTGAAACTGTACATCGTTCGACATTTTATATGTGCATCAAGAACAGGAACCCTCTGATAACTAAGACGGGATTAGACAAAGAGGCCTAGTAATAAGGCGAACATTATAATGCTTGGACCGAGGCTGTGAAATTAGAAGCAAGTAGGGGGATCAATTCATACCTTAACAGCACAAGAGCTAGTAAAGGTCGCCAAGTTTTTTGTTCTTCTTCGTTGACTTCTTTGTTGTAGCAGACGATCCGGAAGGCATCTCGTGTACCTCTTCCTTCGTCTGTTCCTTTTTCGCCAAAACCTGTACAAGGAAAAAAATTAAAAAATTAAAAAATAATTTCAACATGCTGTTAAACGAATTCCACACCACATCATACAAAAGACACCCGTTCTTAAAAAAGATATTAATCCTAAATTTCAGTTTTGAGGGACCGTAGGCATTGATCAGTCTGCTAGGGCGTCCATGCTTGAGTGATGAATTAGAACAAGATTAAGTCTATGCAGTAGACGTCATACCCTCGGAGCCGGTTTAGCGCTCTCTGCAGAAAGGAGTAACCCACGAAGACCAGCAGTGACGCGTTTGGGCCTTTTCATTGCAGCTAGGGCAGGCTGAGATGGCTTCACGTTGTTTACCTCTGATAGAGGTTTAGTTGTTATTCTAGCTGGCTTCTCGTACTGTAATGCTTGCGCAAGGCCCCGGTCTCCAGCTGTTAACCTCCTGGGTCTCTTCTGGACTTTGTCTGTTCCAACCCACGGCGACCATGCCCACAGGAATCAACATCTTTTGAAAATCTCTCGATTTTAAACTTACAAAGCTTACAAAATGTTACAAAGAAAAGAAAGAGATTATCGATAGCTATGTACTCTTCAAGGCCTTACGTGCGATAATTTCAACTGAAGTTCTTAACCAGATGAGTTTTCGAGGGGAAAGGCTGTTGGTCATGCGGGGTGTTTGGGTCTAGGATTGGCAAATATGTGCTCGAAAGCAGCAGGAAATTCAAATAAAAATGATAAATTTTGCAGAGCTTATCAGGTACTGAATGATTGAGCTTACTTTCAACATGTTCAGCATCTATCACACCAGGGCTCTCTGGGCCAGTCGTGTCAGCACCAGCTTCCCCATCTTTGGACCTGTTTTCCACGTGGACAGTGCTGGCTCCATTTTCCTCTGGCACAGCCTCATCTGGTGACGAAGAGGTAACACCTCCTTGAGAGTTGATAGGCGAATTGGCCTCTGCCACCGAATCACGCGCGTGAGTGGATTGGACGTTGCGCTTGGGGCGCTTGCTTTGAGATGATCCATTAGACTGAGCAGAAGGCACAGCTTGCAGTGGGCTTGCTTCTTCAGCTGCTACAGTGCTCCTTGGACGCATTTCCTGGTGGAGGCAAAGAACAAGGATATCATGCACAAGAACGTTGGTGCGTAATTTTTTTTAAATGAAATATCTATTGAACAAAAAAGTGTCTCATTTTTAATAGGAAACATTCCTCTTGGGTTCTTCTTTCGCTCGTTACGGCACAATGTGACTACGGAGGGAACCTTGACGTCCCACATTGCATGGGGATTTCTAACATGAAAATGCAGATCATACCACAACCCTACCGATTCAAATAACCAACTGATGTATTAGGTATGTGGGTTTTGGATGCTATAATTGAATGTAGGAAATTGCGAATACTGCACACAATCTTGATGTACTTGAGGAAACTTAGTGCACAGTGAGAAGCTATAAATTATACGCAACTTTCCTATGGTCCACCTGCCACGTCTAGGAATTTCCTTATTAGAAACTACAATTTCGAGAGGTTGCAGCATAACCGCACTTCGGAACAGTATGCTCGAGCAAGTGTAAAAACGGGTTTACATGACCCTTCCTATAATAAGCTAACGTAATCACTTAACACGCAAGGAACAAGGAATTTCGCGCTGATTGGAGATTATTTCAAATTGATAAAAAGCTAACAAGAAGACAGCCCAAGATTGCATTAGTTACATAACCTCATCGACGGGTTGAATCGTTGCCGGAGATTCGATGCTGGGGAAGTCAAGCTTGGGTTCGTCGTGTCCATCGGCGTTGTTCAGTTCATCTACCTGGAAGGTCTGAAAAGAACCGTGGCGGATGAGTTTGGAGCAGCCCCAAGACCACAATGCACAAGCACCAACTGCCGATGCTTGGGGACCGCTCAATTTCATGACCTCAAACATCTCTCTCGTCTCCCACGCTTTGCACTCCTCGCAGTAATATTTTATCCACATCCGCTTCTGATTCGACGTTTTGACTTCCTCAGCCGCCATTACACCCTTCTCCCCACTTACAGACATTGCTTTCCAATTCTCAGAAACAGTAACTTCTCCAAGTAAATTGCGCGCCTTTCTCCACACCTCCTCGCACCCCGATTCTTGACGTTGCCCCCACCGTCGCAGTAGCAACAATTCTAAACCCCCGCACCAAAACCTGAGAAACCCCGCCGCAAAGTTCAGAATCGACCTAACGAATCACTGCGGCAACCAAGAAATCAACCCCAAGCATCGGAATTAGCCACAAGATAGGACACGAGAGACGTAATGATCAGAGCACCGAAGCGCCCACGAAACCAAAACCTACGCGCTACAAAGACAGCTTCTGAGCTCACCAATTCCCACGTTACCCCAACCTCGAAAGCACCCTCCACAACTTTCCTTCGAGAACTTCTGAACCTCATACATAAAAACGCCGCCTCACACCAAACACCCTCGACAACGATGAAAGTGATGTAAAAACTTACCACTAATTGGGAGACAGGGTAAAATTAGATGAGCAACGTTGGCAGCACTAGAGACTGGGTTATTAGCACGCCTCAGGCATGAGTGGCGTGCACGGAGAATACTATTCTGCTGCAGGAAAAGTGGAATGTTGGAGTTCACAGAAAGATTTTAAGTCCTTCCAACACCTGTCCCCGCAATTCTCCACAATCAAAGGAATACTCCGGCTGGTTTTCTTTCCAATTCCTTGACAACATCCGAGGTCACGTAGAAGCTAAACCCTCTCCGGCAGGTCTTCAACACTAATCAAGCCACTGACGAAGTTCAATGCAACCTTACGACACTCCGATACGCAACTAGAGCCATCACCGGTCGCGTTGCTGTTGCAAACTCGCATCAATCCAGAGCAGATGGCACGGCGTCACCATAACGTGCACGAAGACTGCGGGGATAAGAAAAGACATACCATAGTTTGGAACTCAGCGAGGCGGACCGACTTCACAGATTTTCATTTTTAAGTACGTGGGTGCGTCGTGATAATAGTCACCCATGCTCTGCTTTCATCCCCTCCCGCCTGTTCCTGCGATTCTACACCTAGACTACCAGTGATCCTCCACCGATCACGATTCCCTACCTCAACCAACACAGGTGGCGAAATTTATGTACTCGATAGGAAAATGAAAAATAGACTTCATGCTTCCTCAACATCCACAGTGCGATGCCAGTGCAGGTTGTCTGACAATTTTCGAGTCTAAATTAAATTAGATACCACGCTGTCTGCGGCTGCGCAGGGAACGAGCATCTTATACTGCGCCTGCTGGAAAAGAAAAAGTATCACAACCAACGTGCCTTACATGGTTTATTTACGAGCCTGCAATTTGGCAGTGAGTCATGAGCCGACGTTGACGACTTCGCTGTTCAATCTTAGTTCCTCAGCTCCAGAATTCTTTTCCAGATGACACATGATTCAAAATAGGGAGTACTGGCCTACCTTGGCTACAACTATTCAATAGGTCATCTGAAGCCTACTGTAGCATATCCAAAATTAGAAACTGTGACAGTGTCATCCTCGCAAATAGAATCAGTGGACCGACTCGTGCTGCCGAAGCATATGCTGCTTCAGATATCTGATTATTCCCATAAAAAATGACGCCAGTAGTTATACGTCATGATTGGGACAACTTGTTGTATTACTGACAGTTTGATTACTTTTAGGGTGCGCGAAACATTACTCTCGCGTCAGCTGAAGTGGCTCTAAGTTATTGTTCAATGCACTTGTGACATAACTAGCTCGGAGGGAGACAGAAGCAATGCCCCCTTGACAATGTTCGTCACAACCGCAGCAGTTATTGCACTTCCCATTTCTACTCTACAACTGCAGACAAGTTTGAAGGTGCTTTCGTTTGGGTTGATTAATATGTGCACATACTTCTGATGAACAAATTTGTCAACGCGCTAACTTAATACAAGGCAGTAAATATCATTCAGTCGATAAGGGGAAGTGCTTTTGTTTTTGATGGTATATTCAGGATTATACGGTTAAAAACGAGATTCCTTAGAAAATTACCCATGTCGCCTGCTCTATCGAAGTCCTGACAATTTTCCAGAGTACATGCCCATCAGAAATTTGTCCATTACGCTTCTTTGGAGTAGTATTATAGTACTGTAAGTTGGATGATGCGTACTTCCGGATTGCCAGCGATAGAATCTGTCGTAGCATCACGACACGTCATGTTGAGTAACTTTGCAATCATTGCAATCAACTTTGTGACAGAGGAATCATATGCTCACTCTTGCACATTCTTGTACTAGTCCTCACTGTTCGACGCATTCCGCACAACCTCATGAAACCACGGAGTGAGAGATCCAGGACAGAATTGTGGGCAGAAGACCATCGACCCTTTTGCATAGGGCTGGCCACACCTGGTGATGTTCCGGGCTCGAATATGAGATGTCGTATGTCTTCTGGGCATCCGAACCTTAGGGTTTGACACAAGTTTTTGTGCACGTTTGTTAGTTTTCTACCGAAATGCTGCGCTTCATGCATGTATAGTGTAGTGGAATCACTGAGGATTTCGGTGATTAAATCAGTGAATGACGCTCGAGGTCGCAAGTTTTGCAGGTTATTCGATTGGATCGTAGTAATTTGGCAATGAGCTGTTTCCTGGTGCCCCCTGTTGGTAGCTTGCAAGGTGATGCATAAGAGTTAATGAATGTCAGTTGCACATCGAATGTCTTGAATAATCCCGGGGTTTCCGTATGAAATCTTGTTCGATGCAGGTTCTAATGCCATTTGGACCTTTTAAATCCTGCTTAAGGTTCTTAAATTTTAGGTTTACGTCTGATATCCTGCGGGTTTTGAAGAACTGAGGAATTATTTCGGTGCCAATTTGATGTTTTAGGGTTGCAGCGCTTGTCAAATTGGCCAATTTCTGAGGAGCACTCTCCAAAGAGTTTAGGGCTTAGGGTTTAGGGCTTAGTCTGTGTGCGTCCTCTGCTCTGGATTTTTGTTAACCCACTGCTGATTTCTGAAGAATCTTAGTGTAAGACATCCTTCACCCTTAGATGAAACGTTTGGGCATTCTTATTTATCAGGGATGGAAATCCAAGAGCTTGAATAGAATCCTATTTGTTAGGTTGCAGAAAACAAGTTTGTTGTTGCTGGAACTGAATGAATGTACACTTTCAACTTTTACAGGCCGAGAGCAAGGTTGTGTACAGCCATGTTGGTTCGTAGAATGGTGCAGCTCCAAAAGCATTTAGCTCCTGTCATCTCCAACTCTTTTTGTCTGGTTGGTTGCACTCACTTTAAGCCATTTCATCAGTGCAACTTGAGTAGAACTGATCGAATAATCCTTTAAATTAATTTAACAAAGCCTGTAGTAGATGCATTGATGAGCGGATTACATTTATTCTTGCACATTAGAGCCGGCAATACAGCAGCGGACCGGACGTGCGAGAGTTCATGGGGAAAGGATTAACAGCACTGGGTGAAATTGAGCGTCTCTCGCCGTATACTGACTTCAATGATATTCGTCTAAGGCCTTTGCTTAAGGTATACACGTATGCACTCTAGGGTTTGATTTATTATTTTTTTTGAAAGCTATGACCATCAAGTGGAAGGACACAAGTTCCTTGGATACAATATGCCAATTATACAAATTTTGATTGTAGGCAATGTGGCTAGGTATTGCTTGCGTTCCTTTTCCCATGTTTTGTTGGCTGGGTGCCCAAGTACATGCTTCTTTGCGTTCTTTCTATTGCAAAGAGTTGGAATTATTTGTTACTGAAGTAGACTGAGCTATGTTGTTCCCTATCAGGTATTCAACCTATGTCGATTTTCTCTCCTTGGTGCATAGTGAAGTAGCTGGCTGAATGCATAATAAATGTGCTTATATTTGAACATATCTGTGGATATATACTGGTGCAGACAGCTAAGGAGAGCTTTGAGCTGGCTTTGGAGGTTGACAAAGATAATGTCGTAGCTATGTTGTGGCTGGCCCGGCTTCACCTCTATTACAATATTCCAGGAGCGTGCTTGAGGAGGTAGTTTTTGTGTTCATTGTCACCTATTTTCAATTGATGATTGAACAACTATTGAAGATAAATTCAGTCCCACGCGCTCCTTCTCTTTATTCTTACTTCGTCTTGTGTGACTAGTTGTGCTCAATAAGTTAATTAATCTTTCGTAATGTCGATGCTCATGATGAATCTTGCAATGCAGTGGGGCGAACTTGTTGGAAACAGCTGCTGAATCCGGACTCGCTGATGCCCAATACGAGCTCGCATGCCGAATCCGCTCAGAGGTGCCGCATGTTTTCTTCGTAGCTTGTTTGAGTGGCAGTGTTGTTACTAACTATTGATGGAGTTCCACACTCATGTGTACACATCTTACTACAGCTGGCACCCCTTTCCTCAATTTGTATCATCCAAGTATCCTCAGTTCTTACGTTTTATGAACTTTCTATGTGCTCCATTATAATTCTAACCTTGTTCTGTTCATCTTAACTCTTTTAAATGCATCTAACTTCGCTTCATTTTTCGTTCCTGTTATGACGTTCAGGCTGCACTGTTGGGTGATGGCGATGCAATGGATGATAGAACATTTAAGTACTTAGAATCAGCAGCTTGCCAGGTAGCTGTTACACTCTCTCACTCTCTCTCTCGGTCATAAATTTGGATATTTGCAACATTCTGTTTTGTCTCAGCATGACTTCAGAAGAAAATTATGTAGATTGAGGAGCGTGATTTGATTGTGTATTTCTTTTGAGTGATCTAGAAACACGCTGGAGCCCTGTTTCTAGTTGGGACGATGTATCTATCTGGCAAACATGTGCGTCGAGATTCTAAAGCAGCCGCCTGGTGCTTCCGCAAAGCTGCAGAACAGGTGCGGAAACTCTATGTTGGGCTTTCAATTTCATCTTTGAAGAAGTTTGTCTTTGTTACATAATGGTTATCGTTTGTGTCGCAGACTCATATTACCATACCTTAATTTTCCATTTAATCAGTCTTTGATTAGAAGTTATGGTACTTGCACTTGCAACCGACCTTGAAGTTGGGAAGTTATGAACCATCACAAATGTTTTCTTGAACACTTTTTCCTGTTTACAGGGGTACATACCTGCATCTACGGTTTATGCATCGCTAGTTAGCAAAGGTATCAATCTCATCCATGCCCACGCGTACGATTGCTTGAATTTCAACCTCAACAGTAGCTTCCACGATTGCTACTAAGTAATTTGCCACTCGCCTTGCCTACTTACAATACTAACATATAAAAATTGGTTTGGAACCCCATTTAAATATAAGCTTGTTCTTGCATGTGGTTTGGTCTACAATGCTTCTAGGTGCAAATTGGGAAGAACAAAACACAGCGGGGGACCATGATGACAAGGATACTGAGCAGGGAATGGAGCTCAGAAAGAGCTCAGCACAGCAGGAAACGGAGAAGCCACTAGAGCTTAGTGCAGCTGCACAATTCCACTTTGACAAGGCAGCTGAAGCTGGTGATCCTCTGGCCTTGGAGTGGTTGAAAAGAGTGCCTCATGCGAAAGAACCCGAAAATCTTCGAGTTAGCTAAATGGATTGTGTACTCTTCCTATTGTTGAATAATTGCAAAAATGCTTAATCGTATGTAAAGGTGTAATTGTTGGTTGACAATTATTTTATCCTTTGATTATTTTTTGCTCGTTCTAAGAGTTACTGATGTGTGTTTTTGGCTTGTGATCATTCTAACAGAACTATCATTTTAGTGCAAGTTTGGTTAACGTTTGCCTGTTCTCGTTCTGAATGTCATGATGGTCATTGTATGGCTGTGTTTGGCTTCGGCATCCTGCTATTGAAACAACAATGCTTTAAATATTATCAAGGAATGTAACCACCACCCTTATTAGTCCCTTGGCACTCCCAATTTTGTTTGAAATTTCAATATCAAATGCCCTGTTTGTGTTAAAATTTTAGATTTGGCCACAATTGTCGTCGTCTGCAAGAAAACAGACATACTCGTCTAAATTTTGATGATAAGTTGACTTGATCGATGATAAAGAGACAAATGAAGTCCATATTTAAAGCAGTTTATTCACATTTTGTATGATAGATTTCCCAAATTGTCGAACAGAGCAGGAAATTTGAAAAAATCGAGTTGTGGAAGCTGCACACCTGAGGCATACAGAGATGACATGGCAGATCCACTTTTATCCGTCATTAAAAGTATGCAAAAACAACAAAATTAGATAAAACTTAAAAGAAACTTGAATAAAATATAAATATTTCAGGTTTTTACAAAATAAATATATCGATCAATCAATCAGTTGGCAATAAATTATCAGAACTTGACACAAAAATTTGTAGAAATGTGAGTAATATTTTTAAGAATTTCAATCATCAAGTATTAGAAAACCACTGACCTTGTTTAAAAAATCTTATTCAATTCCTTTAACACCTTATCGAAAGCATATTAATTCACTAGAATTCAATGCTGATAGACTTGACATTGCATTCCTAGTTGGTTCTATTTTTGCAGTTTTTTCAGTGTCAAATACACCTTCTGCACAATGAGAACTGTACAAATGGCATTCTCGCTTCACTTCCACTATGAAACTCATGGCAATATAGGGTGTCTATCCTCACAACCTTAAAAACTTTGTTCATACAGCGGGCACAACCACTCGTTCGCTTGTCACTGTTGAGTTTTCAGCACAGATAGGTTGCTTCTATTGTTTAAGAGATGGTGCGGGAACTGGTGTGCAAGAACAAAAAAAATTATGTTTGGCAAGCTTTTTCTTCCGTCTTTCTCTAGCTTGATTGGTATCATTTCGTGTCATCAGAATCAATCACAGCATGATAGTCTTTTCGAATTTTGTTTTCACTGCCCCGATATCATTTTTCCACGAAACGGACTGTTTCAGAGTATGCTTGAATGTCGAGCACACTGACTGTGCGGTAGACTCCATGAATCAAGGCAATAAGGAAGAAATGTAGTCATTTGTATGCTCCATGCTTGAATTTTGCGTGCTGAGTGGTAGTTTTGCAATTTCAGTCTTCGGGTTTTTTGACTTGTTCATGCAAGTTATGCCTAGCTTGGCATGTGGATGGGTCGCTTTTTGGCAGATCGTCACTGACATCTACTTCGAGCTTGAAACTCGCTAGTATTTGTGCATAGTCGTGAGGATGCCGTAACAGAGTTCTGTGTGCAAGTTTTCAAGGGATTGACAGTTTTACTGTTGAGGAAAGCTGGGGATGAATCTAGTAGAATGGTTGTTGAGGGACCATGCACCAGGGACACGTCTGGCACCTGTGGATGTACACGTTCCAGTTATGCTTGTTTGCGGGCATCTTGCAAGCTTTGCATGTGACACGGTCTTCGGATGCTACTGGATACCCTGTCACACAACACATATCGCTCTCCATCTGTACCCACAAGCGTATTAGTGCTATGCCTACAGTGTGCAAACGTGTAGATCGTGAGCACAACAGATGGAAATATATCTGAGTCTGACTTCCGACGTAGAGAAGAAGTTTATTCTTCCTAGCCTGCCAAATGTTAAGTTAATGGTGAGTTGCAAGAGCTTTGTGCCGGCGATACCTTGCATACAAAACAAACCAAGCTCGCCACGTAGATGCTTGAACCGCAATCTTCACAGGATCGTGTGGGCAATGCTCGCTCTATCTGTCTCAAGATCAAACAGACAAATCACGCGAAACATAAAAAATTAGTACGAATTTATTAGCTTATGTTCCTGGATATGACACCTTGCCATTGATGCAGTAGATAGTATTTTGCCTCTAATTAGCGCCACAGATACGGGATCCCATGATATGACTGTTTCACTGGCAGTGTAAATCCTTCAGCGTAAACGTCACAATTGACGAATTGCAGTGGGCAGTGGATTGACCAGTTGAACATCAATTCACATGATTCAAGTAAATTAAGTGATTATTTTGAACCAACCTGTTGATCCATACTCAATTGAATGACCCAATCACGGACCTCCTCTCTTTGCTTGTCTGCAGAACCACAAAATTCTGTCAACTTCTGCGTATAAGTGATGAAGCGCGCACTTTGAGGTGAAGAAACAAATGGCATCAACGAAAGCGACAGTAATGCTAGTACCTTCTAGGAAGTGCCTTTCTGGTATAGGGAAATCTTGCGGAATATCACTAATTTCAAAGTTCACATTGTCGATCGTTGACGTATCCTCACCATCAATAGCCTCGACGATGTCCAAATAGCGGTTTAGGAATACAAAAGCCATGTTTTGCCATCCTAGCTGCAAAGGTCACGACATCCACAATTAGCAAATCATAGGATGGGCGGGTTGCTCTGCAAGATCACTACAGTGACCAGTGGTCACATGTGCATGATTTACTCGAAGTAAATACCTGCTTGCATGCCATTCCAGCCTCATAGAACGCTCTATCTGCAGGAATCGTTCCTATGTACCGAAGCAAAGAAATACTGAGTTTTGCCTGCATCTCTTGCAGCTCCTGCAATACTCCGATCACACCTCATGTTTTTTGTCTTGGATGTTCGCTTAGTTTACTTCTGTATTTCTTATATCAATCATACTCATGAGCTATTGTGTTTGAAAACACACTTGCACTCGAATATAAATGCACTCGTACATTTTGTCCACCGTAGCCTCACAAACCAGACATCATGAATTTCCAGTACATGGCTTCAAATACACAATTCTGTAAAACATTAGATGGAATTCTCATTGACCTGAGCGACTGAGATGTAACGCAACGTGACGAAGTTCACAATGATCAGCAATCTTTTGAGCTCCGTCAGAACTGCAGCCAACGTAGATGAGGCAAAAAACCAAGTATGAAACCCAATTGATTTGTAGAGTCATTCAAATCAACCTTCATAACTGCAACCTCGAAATGTAAACAATTTCGTGCATGCCATATGGTTAAGAGAATTCAGGTAATTACCTTCTGGACATAGAGCTCTATTTAAGGTGAGGCTGCTAACAATCTGGAAGAGGATCTCCCGTAGCTTCTGCGACAACCCAAAGATTTGTGTAAGGAATATGAACAGGATATCTCATCTCTTTCCAAAATCTGCTTCCAGAAATGCTACAACCGATGTTTGTAGAAAGTATAAGCTCTCTTTTTATAAAATATATAAAATTCATCAATTTTTTAAAAAAAGAAGAAGAAAAAGAAAGATTAACCTGCATTGTAAATTGGATTTGGGGAATCGAATCAACAGCAGATATAATTTTACAAGCAGCAAAACTACAAAGTTCAAAAGCTGGGCAGTTTAAGGGTACTCCATGTTGCGAAAGAACGTCGATTGCTTCACCACACTGAGATAAAACATTCTCCACGTAAAATTGTTAGATTCTCGATTTTAGGACAAACATGGACATGTAACACAAATTAGTGATCACCCGATAACTCATGAGAATGAGACATCGTGCAACGGCCAGAGCAGATAAAAAGTTACCAAACCTTGCCATTCTGCAAGCATTCTTTTGCATGACGGAGAGAGTAGTTCTTCTCTTCGTCAGTTCCCAACAGAGCTGCTACCTCGTGCACCTGCAGCTCCCTTAAATAAGCATCCTCGAACAGACTCTAGTGCTCTGAACAGATTAATGTGTTCCTATTCATAGAGCTCGATGGCCTTACCTTCGGCCAGTCGCCTAATTGTACATAGATCTCCACTGCACCTGAAACATGACCTAGTTTGACAAGTTCAGCCGCATCCCCTTTCTCAATGAGGTGTTCCTTGTAGAGATCATCCACGTGCTGAAAATCATCATAATGCCTGGAGATGAGCCAAAGAAGAAAAAAACGACCACATTTGTGTTTCTAGCTACTGCTAACGTTCTCAATTATTACGTCGCATGCACTGCAACCAACAGAAATCCTGGACCTGTTGTAACGGCGCCCCAGAGCTTGCACCAATGGCTCTTGCTTTCTCCCACAGACCTGCTTCAATATACATGTTCGTGGCCTGCAAGTGCAATGATCCCTATTAATAGAGAATATGAGCTGTGGCAGCAGATTTAAGCATTGCGATTCAGAGTTTTGGAATCAAGCAACATTAGCAATGTAAAGACAGGAATACTTACCTCTTTCGTGGCATTGATGTCTTCATAAAGCTCACCAGCAACTTCATACAACTCCGCTTCTATCAAACGACCAGCAACTGTGCTGACGACCTCGAGGAGCCGTTCCGGAACATTTTCTTTTGACAAACTAATGGCCAAGCTCCACACCTGAAATTCCCGATCATTTCAGTGCCATGGACGTTAGTACATAACCCATTCAGATGAATTTTCAAAGTAGGTGAGTAAAGCAAACAAACAACCAATGAAGAATCAAGTTAACTTATTTGGCTAGGGTTGCGCAATTGACAGAAAACTACTTTTTCACTGTGATAGGATAATATACCTGTTGAAGCTTGTCAAAATCTGCTAGCAGGGAAGAGTCAAGCTGAAGGTAAACATCAATAGCCTCGGAGTGATTCTGACTGAGCTCCAATGCCCGTCCGCGAGCAAGAAGGCTCTCAACAGAATCCTCCCCTCCATTCTGGCTGCCCTTGTGGCAAAGAACACACAGGTTTCAAATCACACTTAACCTCTTCACAGGTCTCAAGATGTCCTCTAAAATTGGGCCAACTATCAATCACACTGCACAGATTGTAATAGATTAAAGCTTGACTCGTACCTTTGCATGTATTCCGCTAGATCACTGTGTATTTCGGCCACTTTAGAAGGCAGAAAATATTCAGCAACTCGAAGAGCGTCGTCCCATTGCATCTTATCGCGGTACATAATGATTGCGACATCAGGCCTTTTAGCCTGTTCACATCATTAGAAGTAAAATGAAATTCTCAATACGAAGCCAAAAATGGCCGACATGCCCTTCCCAATGCAGACACTCTTTCGTGCTTCAAAAAAATGAGAGCTCACCCTAATAAGAAGCGCTTCGGCTTTTTGCAATTCTTCCTTCTTCATCATGTCCTGCGCTTGCGCAACCTGCGTCCACATGACGACGAGTCATTCAATAAAAACTGGCCAATCGTCAACCCACTTAAGATCTATTTCATGCCCTGGATGGTCCACAATTCTTTTGAGAAGAGAACTGTTACCAAGACATCGGATATGGTAGCTGGATCACACAAATCTGCCACTCGCAGAGCTGCTGTCCAGTCCTGCTGGTGCATATACATATCAATAGCCTCGCGAGGCTTGCCCACTTTAATAAAAGCATCCTCAGCATCACGGAACCGCCCTTCATCTTCCAAAAACATGGCATACTTCAATTGCACCTGCAATCAGTTCATTAATGCATCACACAACTGCCTCGATCATCACTCTTAAAACTCGCGGACTAACTTCCTGCAGAAGTCTAATTTTTCAAGCACAGATTGTTTACTTGAGCACTATTATCATTGAAGAGTTCCATTCGCTTTTGTGCAGCTGTGAAATAGGACAATTCAGAGCTTTTGGTGTGGGAAATGGTATGCTCGTGGCTAAAAGGCTTTAAGTTGATTGACTGGGACGGAGTTGAAATGTAAGGTCTGAAAAGTGGCAGCTGTGTTAGTTTCCAGGTCGCAGCAGCAGGAGAAGAGCCCGTATTAATTTTTGGAGCCCCGCCCAGAGAGTAAAAAACTGCTGGTTATGGAGAAGATAATCTAGAACAAGCACACGTCCAATGTGCGAAGGTTCTGAGGTTCGGTTCTCATGTTCTGTTGGCATTAAGATGTGATAGTCAAGCAGTCAGGCCTGGGCACATATTAGTGCATACAGGAGGCATACTTTCCAAACACAGAGCTGCGAGTCTTTCAATGACTCGATTGACATGCGATGGCTTTAAAGCAAGAAAGAAGATCCGTCTAGGGCATTGCACCTCTGGAAGCTTGTGGTTCAATGAAACGCAGCAAAGGTCGAACGCATGTTCAAAAGCTCCGGCCTCCATAGCATATTCAATGGCTTGCTCCACTAGACCCAACTTCACCAGCAACTGTGCACCCGTATCTCCACCCAATGACACTGCCCATGCGTAGGCAACCTGGAAAAAACAAACAGCAATCCCTAAGAAAGGTTCTAGTATTCCATGGCAAGAGCTGGCTTGACTAACAGTGCAGTATTTGAGTATACTGCGGATGAGATTGCTTATTGCCGTCTGAGTGGTTCAATCTGATGACTGAGGAACTTTCTACAGACCTGTTTGGATCCAGGGACGCCACCAAAAAGCTTGGCCACGCGTAGAGCATCTTCCCACAACCCATTTGAAGTGTACATCTGCACGAATTCCACTTCACAATCAACTTCATCTAGTACAATCCAATAGTTTTTTATCGATACATGCTATTAATCAACCTCTTTCGCTGTCAAAGAACAACCAGGAGTTTCAGTGACCACTGAACGTTCAAAATTACCTTGACACTGCTCCTCCAATCTTGCGCACCCTGATAGTGCATCTCAGCACCTCTCAAACATCCTGCCAGCACAGCGTGTCTCAGATTTTTTAGATGTGGAAGAAGATGATGTGAATTAGATCTGACTTTGTAGAATAGGAAAATTCTGCTAGGAAGGCTGGGACTCTCTACCTTCTCTCTCAAGTTGTTGCGCTATGCGGAGATGTGTTTCTGCGAGAGCATCCTGGAAAACCGGCATGAGTTTGAGTAGCTGCCAGTATTGCAATAATTTAGGCAAGGTGTTGAAGTTCATGCAGAAAAGGGATAAAGGTGGGGAAGCAGATTTCAAACCTGGCGGTACTTGGAGACGAGCTGTATGACATGGTCAAATTTCCGTGCTTTATTGTACATATCAATTGCAAGGTCAGGCTCCTGGGCTTCAATATACAGCTTTTCCGCATCTGTGTAGTGCGTGACGGCCTCCAGTTGCCGTGCTCGTTGTAGGTACAGAGCAGCTGCGTCTGGTTCTGACAAGTGATGTGCTGCCACCTACACACCGATCTCGTCAAGAAATAATGACGGAAAGAGTACATCGCATTGAGCCCCACTATTCTCTTTAAAAAAAAAAGTGGTACTTGGTTTATGGAGTCTGCACCTATTTGTGTCTATTTAGTAATAAGTTTGCAACCTTCTTTGATCTTAATTGGTGTTGCCTTTCTACTTGTTTCTTCTTCTAATTTGGCTTATCCAGAGAAATTGTCAACTTACGAATGCGGCTTTGATCCTTTTGATGATGCCAGAAATCGTTTTGATATACGATTTTATCTCGCTGCTATTTTATTTATTATATTTGATTTGGAAGTCACCTTTTTATTTGCTTGGGCAGTTTCTCTTGACAAGATTGGTTTGTTTGGATTTTGGTCTATGATAGTATTTTTATTGATTTTGACGATTGGATTTTTATTCGAATGGAAAAAGGGCGCTTTAGATTGGGAGTAACCCGGGAATTTCTGAGCCAAAAAACGATAAAAGAAAAAAAAAAAAAAAAAAAAAAAAATGCATTTATCGTTTTTTGGGTTTTAGCATTCCTTCCATCGCAGCGCAAACAAAATGAGATAAACCTCGATAAGTAGGTATAATAAGTCATTCATTAACTTTATGGAGCTCATCTTCTTTAGCTGAGTCACTATAAACGATCAAGATACTTATATCAACAAAATAAATTACCTTGTGTGCAGCGTCCCACTTGTTAGCACGAATATACATCTCGACTGCCTCACTTGCCAACTTAGCACGCACAAAGAATATTTCTGCCTCCGCGTACTGCTTTGCGGCTTCGAAATGGCGTGCAATCCTTTCGCAAAATGGTATTGTAATCTGCACAATCGAATAACAAATTTCATATATTATTACAAAAGCTTGCTGGGATTACATTCAGCGCATGCTAGCATTACAAGTGGGGATTTATATCGAACCATAACAATGGTCATAAATTTATTTAAATCTAAATATTTTCCACTTGCTATAGTATTCATGTCTAAGAACGTCCCCCAACCTTTATGTCTTGAGCGTCAACGATCTGGACAGCCTTGGTCCATTGCCTCGATGCCATGGCGGATTCAATAGCCTTTTCGATGCAACCAGCTTCAATGAAGTGATTAATAGCAGCGTCAACCTGTTCACAGTGCTTAATCTACGTTTAGTGATTGGTGTAATATTAACATGAGTGAGGACATAAAGCTGGTCGTGAGAAGCTGAACGCTAAAGGGTTATTAAGTACAAAAGAACTAGATGCCATTGGAAACTGCACTTGTGATTGAGTTGCAATTGTGATGGGTTTTGATCTTATCTGATCGGATGGAACGATTTATGTAAGAACCTGATTCTGAGAGACCAACCAACCACCCCACTCCTCTTCCAGAGCAGCCACCTCCCCTGGAAATACTCGACGGGTTAGATCAATTGCTCTTCGGTACGCACGGCCCCGCTTGTAAGCCTCCTTGGCTCTTTCATATTTACCCAACATCTCTAGAAAATCTCCCGCCTGAAGCCAGGAAGAGAGATCCATTTCTGGTCATTCAACAGGTACTTTAGTTGGTCTAAAGAAACAAAAGTTTGTAGGTATAAAATATGGGGCTTACTTTCTCAAACTTATTTGCTCGCATGAGAGCATTCGCTATGGACTCCATAATATCATCCTGCATGCCAAGAGGTCCATTGCAAATCGGGTAACAATCCTCAGAAGTCGCTATGTAACTAATAGCTTGAGACCAGAATGTACTAAATACACATACAAATACCTCCAACTTCGGGATCTTTGCTCAATACGAGAAACGCATCCGACATGTTCTTACAAGGGAATGCTATTGTCAACACTACTACAGAAAAGAACTCTTGAAATCAGGACGACGTCAAGACACAAACCAGTTGGGCAATAATCCAGGTGGGCGTTTGACAACTGCAACTGAGGAAAAATTATGAACGATGATTTCAGCCTAAGGGTGCTTTTCCAATTAAAATTAACACGTGCCTGGCCAGGGTTTAATCAGAACTCACTGGAAATGTGTATAAAGTATGATTGCTGACACAATCGGCAGCATGTCCTGGAAGCCCGCCTTTCAAGAACAACGTGATGGCGCCAATTACATCACCATCCACTTCCTTCAGCTTTCCAGCCTCTTCTTCCTAAAATCAGTAAATTTGTGAATTGTTATTGCTGTTCCAAAATTTGAAACTAACTAAACTTCTGATAACCCAAAAGAATTCATGAAATGAAACTTCTATGTCAATGAGTGGCTGGAGAGGCGTAAATACCAAAAGTTTATGAAGGAAAAATCCATACCTGGGCAGTTTGCAGAAGCCATTCATAGTGGCCTTGTTTCAAGCTTGCATAATCTGGATGGTTTTGGCTTTCTGCAACACTTATGGCCTCTTCCCATCTGGGATCGCCAGAAAACTAATTCATATCATAAATCTCAAAGATGACAATAAGTTTCCTTGTCAAATGAGTATTCTAAGAATAGCCGCAAATGCATGTACGAAAAATGGAACCTGTGGCACTCTGTGTACATCTGAATCGCCTTGCCCACTTGCCCATGCTCTAGCAGGAGCGTCTCTGCTACCTGTAGTGAGTTTCTACAATAATTCTTACTCTGATATGCAGATTGGCTACCTTACAACTACTATACTGCTTTCAGAGGAGATTCAATGAACTTTCAGAACATTTGGCTTCAAATTATCTTAGCGATTTCATTAATCAGTTTGAAATGCTACCTTCCACTCATGTTGCAACAAAGCAAGCTTTGCACGCACAATGTAGTGATCCAGACCATCAATTCCAACTTCTTGAACAACCTCGTCTTTAGCTTGACTTACCTGTGCTGTAAAACGAAGTGTGCTTCACTAATGCAAAGCCACTACTGACAAATCTGGACCACTATTCAACGAATTCACACCAAACATTGAAAATTAAAAGTAAAATTCGAACAACATAAAGCCTTACAAAAAAATTGGGTTACCCACCACACAGATCAATCGGTTAACCTAAATTTAGTGTTCAATCTTGACAACATTAACAAGCTCCGTCAATTAGCCACACTCGATTGTAGGGACCAGGTGTTTGACCACAACCATTAGTTATCATGTCAGCTGCTCCTGCACCAAAGATGAAGCTAACAATGGACGTTCATTGTGGAACCGATATCTGTGAAACGAGGTTTTAGGGCACCTTGTGGACATAACGAGCCTTGGAAACATCTCCAAGAGCTGCATAACATCGCTCGGCAACTGCCAACTCCTTGTGATAGAGTGCTGCCTCAGCCAGCTGCATGCAAATCCTAATCATAACGTAAACTCGGCAGACAATAAAACGAAAAAATGTAAAAGAAAGTAAGTATTTGGACATTGCAAGCTTTATCTGAACCTGATTACCACCTGCTTCCACATTGCCTCGGTTTCTGGCGCAAGCTTGAGAGGCTCTAAAATTGCTATGGCGCGGTCATACGCAAGGGCCTCCAACGCCATACCGAATTCAATCAGTGCCTCGTCTAAGACATAGCCCACCTGTTTCCAGCTGACAAGTGTTGGGTGAGAGCTCAGGTAATTAATAGCTCCAGGATCCATCCTTCCTACATATCTTCCGTATCAAATTGAAAATGTGCAGGAAGGTTGGGAAGACGAGATTGGAATTGTACCGCACTGCTCCCTTCATCTACTAGTACTTCTGTGCGACCCTCTGCCCTTTCAATGCCTTCCACTTCTCCCTGCAGCAGTTCGCCCAACCGCATCACCAAATTCAAGATGCTGCGATGATCACTGTTTCCAAAACCTATGCTAATATAATGCTTCCCTCCTTCTCTCGATTACCGATCACTGCCATAAATAAAATACCTTAATCGGGAAAATGGTTGCCTGTTCGGGATTTTTGATGCTGTACCACACGTACAAGTTACCTCGATTCTGCCATCGACGGGAAACAGATTGGTATCATAACTAATGTGATGCCTCAAATCAACACGGACTAATTTGGACCCAGAAGAAACATATCAATATCGCACGTTAAAATAACACTTGAGAGCTCACCTGAGCGACAACAACATCACTGTCTGGCACCCACTGCACATAGCTACAAAAACACAATAGAGTGATTCGCTCCTGTAAGAATCAATCCAAGTCAACTCAGCCTAAAGTCCTGTAGTTGGAGGATTCCGAACTTGAAGATTATAATTGAAAATCGATATATATATAGTAAACTGAAAATGACCACTGTGGTGAGCATAAGAAACCATTCTAGCGTATATTCAGATGATCGATAGACCTGCGTAAGTAAATTGAAAAGATGAAGTTGCTGCTTTTTGTCTCGAAACAGCAAGTGGGTTGCATGAGGGTTAAGCTCCAGCCAATCGATCTTGCAATCATGATTGAGTGTACCCGCAGTCACACCGCTGGCAGAAGAACATTTCATTTCAGGACTATGCCGAACTCATTTGAGATGGAACTCAAATTTTTTAAGCTTAAACATAGAACTCAGATTAGAGAAACTTTCAAGCACTTCTGTATGGAGCTCATGGAAGAGAATTAATGTGAAGAAGTTATGCCTGACAAGGTCCAATATCCGAATGGTTTGAAGATCAATAAGGTATGCAATCTTCTTGTTATCTTCGTTGAAAGGATCTGACAAGCGACAGAGGTGATCGTTGAGGCGAACGCTTATCAAAAATGGGCTCAAATATTCTGTCCGACATGTGCCTAGCACCTTTCATTCAAGGCCACCACACAATCTCACGGTGCAATTCATTTCTTAGAACGACATCCATTCACAGCACTTCAAACAAGCATCCAGCATTCACATTGTAGAATCGATTCAAGGCATTAATGCTCACCTCGTTGCAGCCATATTCCACCAAGGAGAGTTCTCCGGCGTTGTGAATCATGCATACCGACGGATTGTCCACAAGAAATTTTTCGTTCCCACTGCCGCGCCACGACACCTGGGGCCATAAATTAAACTCCCGTGGATCAATCCCGGAAGCACGTACACTGGGATTTCCAGCAGGCAAAAAAAGAACAACAAATTCGTTAAGATCGTAGTAATTGACCGAGAACGAACCCACCTCGGACAACTTGAAAGTTTCCAGATTGCCAATGAGCAGCGATTCGGAAGTGTGAGCAATGAGGTACTGCACATGAAGGACGAAAATTCTTAAAACCTCATCATCCCTATTCCAAATCCCTCCTTACCCACACTCTGTTGAGAATTCACGAGGAAGTCCTCGCATTTTTGAACCGTATAATGAACTACGACAAGAGTAGGGTGCCTGCTGAATGACATACCTGAACATGGTAAACATTGATCCTGAGAATTTCCCAACCATATTGCGATCGGATAACAATGCGGGTTCCTGAGGACAGGTGCTTCACAATGACCTGGACACGACAAAACAATCGCTCCATTTAGTGAGACAAGGATCTACCTTCACCTTAAATTCCTCTTGAGATTGAATTCAATGCAACCTTACGGAATAGATGGTTGGACTGACCTGGCTCTTGGTGACATAAGTGAACTCAAACGTGCCTTTGTAACGCTCCTTCCGAACGCAAGCATCGAAAACGTCCACGTTGCCACACAACCCTCCCACAGCCAGCTGACTGAACGTCACGCACAGAATCAGAACTCTGTTTGAAATAATACAAGCCTTCCGTGTTCGCTGATAGTGAAGCAAGAGTAGAAGCTCAGGGAATTGGAGAGTCGCAAAGTAAATCCAAAAAAATAAGGGCTGCGCAGAGAGAAATTGCAAAACCTGCCGTCTGGTTTCCAAGCGAGGGCGGAGATGGAATAGGGATTGTCCACTTGTATTCTCCCCACATCCTCCCAGAATCCTTGCTGGTTTGTCAAACTGCCATTGCCAACCATAAATTTCAGTAACCAGTAGGTCATCGGTTCTACCATGTTCATAGCGATTCCCTCCCACTGACCCCTAAATCGTAATACATGACTTTCCGAAAAAAAAAACACTAGTTGACACCAGAATTCAGACCACCAAAGTCTCCCTGACATACAAGCATCTTTTTTGCAGATTCGCTATATACCCACCTGAAGACATGGAACCCATTGAAGCTCCCCAGAACCACCGTGTCTCCACTGGGGTTGAAACACGCCGTGCTAAACTCTTGCACCATCTGCCACAGCCACATCCGAAAAAATAAACGATCAATTAAATCTACAGTACCCTCACCATGCCTTCACCTCGAAACCTAATTTAGCATCATCATCAAAAACACACACCGGGAGAGTGCTGTAATCAAACTGCTGCAGGATGCCACCATTGCCATCGTGGAATTCCACCTGGTCAAAAACCCAGAAACTCCACCACCCAATAGTTAATAGGGCTCTTTTACATATCCCACTGTGAACTGATCCCATGTCAGTATAATATATGTATACAAAAGAAACTCAAAGAGGTATGGGTAATGCATGCAATACAAGTGTGTTTTTTTTACCTTACAGTCTGACCCAGAAACAACAATACTTTCACCCCAGACCAGCACACTTGGCACACCTCCTGGTAGAGAGAGCCATCAATGGTTAGAGAGGCCCTGGGGAAATCTGGTGATGTGATTCAGATTACTACCTAGGGTCAACTTGATCATAACCTCTGAGGAAAGTAACAGGGCCAACAGAACAGAGCCAAAGCTTCACGTACTGGTGGGGAATATTAACTGACTGTGCAGAGAGGCCTGGGGAGGTACACAGGCTGGAGAGAGTCCATGGGAGACAAGACCTTTAAAACCCCCTCTGCCATGGGGGGGTAGTTATAGTCAACACATGAAATCAACTGTATGTGTGGGGCAGTTCCACTTACAGTGACCACCTGCCCCACACATACAGGTATATACCTCACATCAAAAATATTTAAAACCTCTCTCTGCTTGGAGAGGGCCATTACCATATTGACATATCTTCATTGCTGATGCACCTGACAGCATGGCATCCACTGCAAACCTGGAGTTACATGCTCACATCTCACTATCAAAATCTCAAAACTTCAAAAAACTGCCATATAAAAAAAAACTAGACCAAGCTTTAACTCACACTGTGCACCCACATATAAAAATAAATAAAACCCCACACAAAGAACCACCATGAGCCTTTGTGTCCTCACTCTTGATATCTTTTGCATTTCTCTGTGGTTTTGAAACAGCCATGGAGATGTCTCTCTACACAAACATGTGGTGAAACTAGCCCCAGTTGAATGTGATTTTTGCAAGAGTTTTAGTGTGTACACATTGACACACATTTATTTATTTATTGTGTGTGTGTGTGTGTGTAAATTGAATGAATCAAACCCAACTTGTAGATGGAACCATCCAAGTGGGCAGCAATGCATGTGGACCCATCAGGGCTGCAAGCAAGGCTGACAACAGCTGCAGCACTCCCTCCTCCTCCAGTTGCTGTAGTAGTTCCTCCTCCAGTTCCCCCTCCATGGCTGTAAACTACTATGGCTCGGTTTGTTCGGAGCTGCCCAGCCTTCACTTTGCCATCCATGAGCCCAAACACGAGCTCATTCTGGTGCTGGTTGGGCCACACAATGCTTACTACTTGGGAGGTTTGCTGGAACTTGTTACAGATGGATTTCTTATCACCCCACTCCACCCTGCATTTTTTATCAACAGAATTCTCAACACTCACATGTTGAATCCTCTCCAAAAAGCAAATCAGTCATTCAATTCATGTAAATTCATGTCAATGTACAGGCTGCCAGGCTGTTGGAATGGTTTTGGTTACAAAGCAATCCATTTCAGGACTAATTTTATTTTTAGGTTTTTTTTGAAGGTCAAGTAAACAAACAAAGATACAAAAGAATGAGTTGTATGCAACTCACCCCAACTTATACACAAAAATGATGTCATCACTTTGCCCCACTGCAAGCTTAGTGCTGTCTGGAGAGAAAACCATTGCTGTCACAATGTACACTTTAGATCCCTACAATTTCCCACTGTGAGCTATTAGAACAAAAGAGGAAAAAGAAACACAACCAAACAAAAAAAAAATTGTGCGTTTCTATAGATGGATTCTTTCATTCAACTATGAAATTTTCATGTTCTTTAATTCTACACACTCAACCTTATAAAAGCTGCTTATTCACACCTTAGGGTCAGCTGGTTTGGTGGAGAACTTGTCTTTCAAGTTGCCATTCTCATCAAACAAATGGACTATCCGGTGCAGAGTGACTGCAGCAAGCTTTTGGCTTCACAACCACCACAAAAAATATATATATATATATATATATATATATATAAACATAAAAAACATAAGATTAAATCAATGTGAAATTAGAGTCCCCACCACCACTACTGAATTGAATTAAATTGAGTCTGTGTGTCAAGCAGGGAGAGTTCATCTGTTTTAGAAGCAAGGGAGGAAGAAGGCATTAACTGCCTTTCCTCCACGGGCATGGCCACCAGGAGGAGTTGCTGGACCTCAGTTATTGAACCCAACTCCCCTCTCACAGTAAAATAGAAATACACAAAAATGAATAAAAATAATAAAACCCACTACAATTGATGAATGCCATGTGGGGTTCTGAGGCTCAGGCATTACTGACAACCTTCCATCATGAACCGTATTGCAGTAAAGTCCCTTGTGTTATTGCTCTTCAATTTCACTGATATTTTATTATTTTCTTCATTTTTCATGTACATTTTAATTGTAAAGTTATAGCTTCCAACCTTTGAATGTATGGGAGAGAGAGTTGAGAGGGTCTTGAGAAGGGGTGGGTGGTGGTGAGACCTGTTTGGAGCCCAGGCAAGGGCTGTGACTTTGGCAATAGTGTTGCATGATGGCAACAATGACTGCACATATTGCAGGTTCATCTTCACCTTCTTACACTTCCTTGCTTACAGAATAAGAATAAGAAAATTGAAGAAGAGAAGGACATAGAAGATACACAGAGAAAGAAGGAGAATTAATACAACTGCAACCTAACAATCAATTACCACCATGCTGGAAAACCAGCATTTGTGAGGTTTGTTTTTACAAATTTTGCCCAAGTTTTCTGAGCTTCTGTCAATCTGATTGCAGAGGACAAAAGTGTGAGCACACCACCTTTGAGTCCTCTACCAACAATGTTCTCCCTACATTTGTATTTGTATAAATAACATGGATTTTGTTCGTTTGTTTAATAGGGTAAGCATGTAATAGTTGTATGGATGGCTCAATCTTGTAGTGATCTAATGGCAACTTTCTATGTGCATGTACGATTGTCAAAATGTTTTTTCCAAGGTATATCTGATGGAACATATAAACAAAAATGAAAATCAAATTTAATCATGAGTCAATTGATGGATTTGACAGCATTTTGTAAGACCCTGTTCACATTTCTTTTGCTTTTTGCTTCATTTGCAGTTTCAATCCAATCCTCCAAACTATTCAAAATACATGTCATTCATTCTTCACTCATCCTTTCTTTCTTTCTTATTGAAGATTTTGGATTTATTTTTATTTTTATAAGGTTGTATTTTCCAATAGAAAACTGTATAGAAGGCTTGGTTTTTATAATTCCCATTAACAAAAAAAAAAAAAAAAAAAAAATGTAAATTCTAAAAAGCGGAATTCCACTAATGATATTAAAATAAGTTCATTAAAATTTAATCAAAATTCTGTATTCCAATCATTTAAGCCAAACGTTTTACTTAAAACTGCTAATCTCAGAGCTTTTTTATTTTTAAAATCAAGGTAGAATACACCCACAGTGTTCATAATGTAATGACTTATAACAAATTTGGTTTCACAAAGAATTTGTGCCCAAAATTCACCTCATATGTAAAGTGACATGCACACACTTTTATTTATATATATATATATATATATATCCATAAACATGAAAGAAGTATTCAACTGAAAGATGAAGACATTGAGCTTGAAAAGTCATTGCAAATAAGATATCCTTTGTGGTAAAGATCTTGTCACAAATCTTATGACAAAACCCTCCCCCACTTCCTATTTAAAGTTCAATTTGTCAATCCAAATTGAGTCCAAGAACTGAAAACTCCACTCGCAGATGTGATATTCTGTTTGTCTTATTGAAGATTACATAGTACTGAGGCATTTTATTTATCCCTACTATGAATATTATTATTAGTTTTTCAAAAGGCCTGTGGGCTGTCTTCCCAAAGAAACCCAATTGGTCAAGCATGGTGATGGTGTGGATGCAAACCAGGGCCTATTTGGTCCCAGGCACTCAGCTCTGCTCCATTTCACAGCATTTCTATGTTCTTTCTCTATCTCCCTGCCACAGATTTTGTTGTGCAGAAAATTTGGGCTTTGCAGATTGCCCTCTTCAATTTCAACACATTCATGCAACTCATGCATTCGTTTTCTTCATGTGAGTGTGTGTGTATTGTAGTCTCCTTTGGTCTTCCTCTTGTTGTTTCTGCCTGTTTCTTCTCGCGCTGCTGTTTCCTGTTGTTGTTGGTGTTGGCAGCAGCTCCTCAGTTGGGTGGTGACCCTGTAGCCACTTACTCCCACACAAGCCCTAATTTGGTAAGGTTTGGCACATGGGGGCATTTATGGTTGCTCACTGGCCTTGCATCAGGATAGGAATATATAACTCTACATTTATGTATAATCGCCCTCCTCAATCTTCTGAAGAAATGGGTTTTAATTCTGCCATCAATGGTTGCAGATTTCTCCACTGCAATGTTTATGTAAGTTAGTGATGCAGATCAGCCCTTTGTCCATTCTGCGTGCTTGCTTGCTTGTTGCACATGTGCAGGAGTGAGATATGGAAATGTCAACTTGCCTTGTTTTTATGGGATACCAACAAAGAGAAAAAAACAAAATTCCAAAAAATTATGAAACAGTGCATTCATGGAGTCATTGACCAAAAAAAAGTTGACTTTGTCTCTCAAATTTTGTGCATGGTCAGGATTAAGTTCATGTGTGATTAAAAAAGTGCAAAACAATATCCCAACCCAATATGCTACTGGTATTCAAAATTCAAACTCAATGATTTTCTTACCACAATATAATACATTATCCAATACTGTGCAGTTATTTACTGATTCAATCAACACCAAATTGAAAAACTGTTTCTCTTCTTCCTCCTCTTCTATACCTCTATTTGATTTATGAGGCCATAATTGTTTCTTATTTTCTTCATTTTTTGTTGTTTTGATAGGAATTAAACTGTAAATGAAGGGCATGGGGTTGTGAGCATGAGGACAAATAGTAACTAAATAGGGATGAAACAAAGTCCAGGATCAGATAGGTCTGCAGTCCCTACTCTCTTCTTCTAATTCTTCTTCTTCTTCTTCTTCTTCTTCTTCTTTGACTTCATTTGTTTACTACTCATTGATTCACCCCATTTGCCTATTTATGTTTATTTCTGCATGGAGGAAGAAGGGGCTTGACTTTATGCTCTCTGTAATGGACTTCTTTTATCTTTTTTATCTTTTTCTTTTTTTTATCTTTTTCTCTTTTCATCTTTTCATCCCCCTTTTTTCTTTTATCTTTTTTTTTCCAGAACTGGTGCCTGACCTGCCCAGGTAGAAATGGGCAGAAACCTGCCTGCCCATAATCAAACATCTGATGAAGATGATGAAAACAATCCTCCTCCTCAGTTTTTTAATTGCCTGTCCCTAACTCCAAGGCCCATAATGGAAGGCATGAAAAGATGAGAATGGAGGCAGTTTATTATATTTTATTTTATTTTATTGTTTGGGGACAATCCAGTATACCCTTTGGGTGGTCAATGAATTCCTCC